AAATTCCAAACAAAGCGACCGATCTCCCTAAAATTGCCACCAGCCAGACCGAAGAGTGTATACCTACCCGTTCGACGAGCGCCAGGTTCTAAATTCGGCTGCATGAGCTCGAGGAGCGCTGCATTTCGCATTTCGCATTTCGCACACTAATAATTCTAGTATATTCCGACCAAGTGACCTCTGAAGCCCGAACCCACAAATAGTGCGCTTGGGCTGCCTGTGGTTTTAATTGACAGACTGAAAGCTGTACAAAGCGTTACCCTTTCAATGTTATTATTTGCAGCTAACAGATAAGCTTACCAAAGCAGAAGCAGAAATTCAAGCATCTAAGATGAGTCGAGATGACTTGTTAGCTCAAACAGAGTCTCAAATAGCTGCTCGAGGAGCAGGTAGAAATTGATTTTAATTCTTGTCAAATCAGTAGAGTTCAGCTCATATGTAATCTAATTTTTGTATATATTATTAATGGTTAGAACTCTTGCACCACTTTGGCACCATGTCAGGTAAGCTACATACACATGTAGTGATATCCTTCAGGCAGGCTAGAGTTTTTTTTTCAGTTTTCATGAATAACGTGTCATGGCTAGTACAGTTTGAAAGGAATCATGTTCAAGGACATGTTAAGTGGTCTTGCCAAAGCAACTACAGACTCCTGTTGCTTCAAAACTTCAAGGGAAATAGAAAAAAGTTCAAGTCATCGGGAGTTTGAGTTATCGAGAGTAAAATTATATAGAAAATTATCTCACGGGAAATGAAAATTGCTTCAAGTTAGCGGGAGTTCGAGTTACAGAGGGTTAGAGTTACTGGGAATCGACTGTATAGCGTTAAATGGATGCTATCTGGTACCTCGCACCAGTTATCAAAAAGTTGGCTCAAGTAAAATAGTATTGCTAACAGCCTCTGACAAAACTACTGTGATAATCTAAGTAAATCGCTTTTAATTTACACTGATGGAACACTGATGTTTATGTTTTGATCAATTTTTTCAGCTCTTGTTGAAAAAATCTACCAGGCTCAAAAAGAACGTGATGCAGCAATGAATGCAAGACTGAAGATGGCTTACAGTGAGCGTGAGGAATTATTGGATAAACTAAGAAGAACTGAAAGAGAACATACAGGGTATGAAAATATGCTTTCATTTTTCCTTCTTGTTTTGCCATGTAGGAGGCCCTTGCAATACTTCTAGGTACCCCATGCTGAACTTGGATAAGCTCCTGCCAGCTGTATTGGCCCTATAGAGTACCGAAGTGTGACGTCATAGAAAATGAAATTTGTGAAATTATGGGATTTGTTAAGATATTCTGAAAGAACAACGTCCAAGACGCCTACTCGCCAAAAATTAGCAATTTGGGGCAGATTGTCTCTGAGATATTAGCCCAGTTATGCTCCGATGACTCCATTCAAATCCTTCTAAATCTTACCTGGTTCCTAATCTTATGAACCGAGCCAAATTTAGAAGGATTTGTATGGAATCATTAGACAGCATCACTGGGCTAATATCTCAGAGACAATTTGCCCCCGAATTGCTAATTTTTAGCGAGAAGGCGTCTTGGACGTTGGTCTTTCAGAATATTTTAACAAATCCCATAATTTCACAAATTTCATTTTTATGACGTCATCACTTCGGTACTCTATTCAACACCGTTACTAAGGGTGTTTTCCTAAAGTCAGAACTGACCAGCTGGAGGGGTCATATTTGAAAATGAAATGTTAACTTTTTCTTAAAATCTTCACTTAAACCTACCGCAGCCAACCATTGAACTGGCTGGATAGTTGTGATTAAAAGTGGAATTCTCTTTCAACTGAACTGGTCTGGTTGGCCAGTTCTACCTAGTGGAGAGAGCCTGAGCCCTAAGATTTCAGGAGTAAGGTATATGCAATTAGTAGGTGGGGGATTGAACTGCTAGAAAGTTCTTTTGGTCATATTGTCATGTTCGATTTTGATGAGAGTTGCAGAGGGTCACACTTGTAGTAGCCAGGGAAAATACCCAGCCCACAGGCCTAAGTCAGAGCCCTGCTCATTGATCCAAATCACACCATTACCTTTTTTTCTATGCTAACTAGTATTTTTAAGTTATTAAGAAGGTCAGCCTATGCCTCACATTCACTCAAAAATTAGTACTAAGTCCACTTTTGTAAAATGGTCTATTCGATCTACAGCAATGGCTATTACAATACTGACACCTAGATCTGTGGCTTTGTTAATATTGTTTTGTTTCATTCTTGTTATACAGTTTTGATTCTGGTGTTGATAGTGTCTATGATGAAGAAGAATCCGAACCAGTAAGTGTTCTTAACCATTTAAGCCCTAAGAGTGATCAACGTCAAATTTCTCCTTGTAATATCAATGCTTTGTAAAACAGATTGGTCATGAGAATAAAGGACATGATCACATAATACGAATTTGCTTGATATTTTATCAACTTCTCCCCACTACCTCTGTAGGAAATGAATAGGGGCAACAAATGAGAATTCAAATTTTGATGTTAGGGTTTAAAGGGTTAATCTTCCCTTACTTTGTACTAACAAAGAAAGTTTCAAGCTATAGTTGTACATGATTCTGAATATTAAAACATTAAAATAAAATTGTATTTATTTTTTCAACAGACCATGAGATCTTTACTTGGTAGAATAGCCTCCTCTGAAACTCCTGAATCAATTGACAAACATGGTAATTTAATGGCTTACAAGATAAGGACAGTACAGAAAAACAGAAAGAAAATGGTGACGGAAGAACTTAAAGCTGTTATCGCTGAAAGAGATGCGGCTGTGGAAAAGGTCAATTCTCAGATTGCTTGATTTTAACCCTTTAAGTGCCAATAGTGACCAACAACAAGTTTCTCCTAACAATGTCCATACACTGTCAAGAGATAAAGTTATGAGAATTAATAAAATGATCATAATAGAGAAAATTCCATGACCTTTTATCAAATTCTCCTAACTAATTCTTAAAGGAGATGTATGGAGATCAGTTTGGAGAATTTGTACGAGGATATCGGGGCTTAAAGGGTTAACAGTCTGTTGAAGGTTCTAATTAATAGAGCCAAAGTATGAGTTTGTTGTACTTCACAAGAAGTTCTAGTTCTTTTGCTTAACTCTCATTGTGTTGCTGTGAGATTTAACTGCGCTGAGTTCTGCTTGGGCGGGCTAAACAAATACTTTGTATGCTTACACTGTAAGATCATGTTCACTGAAGTAATTCCGTATCTTTTTTCATTTTGCAGTCAAAGGCACTGGAAGCAGAGGTCATCAATCTCCGGAAAGAAATTGAAATAATGAAAAACCAGCACAAGTTAATTGATAGACAAAGGCTTAAGGCCATTCAGGTAAAGTATACACTGCCAGACCACATCGTATCTTCAGGAATATCAATTTTCGGGAAAAAACATTCTGTGCAGGCTCACGAAGGGAGCTTTTGGGTTTGACAAGCATGGATGTAAAAGAATTTAAATTAACAGACTACCGTTGATGATTGAGGTATACACACTTAATGGATAAGAGTTGAGATTCTTTATCTGAAACGTTTTGTTTATTGGTGAAAATAAAGTGGAGGGCTTTGTCACGTGTTCCTTCCCCATGTTGGGGAGGATTGCATGACAAGCCAAAAGGATATTTGAGTGAGAGGCTATAAAAAAGTTGGCATAATTCAGCATTTCCAGGTAGACCATAATGCACCATTTATCCCCCAAAATTTTACATAATCATAATTGTCTTCAATTTCTCTTACAACAACTATAACACCCAGGAGAATCTGGAAATATTGGTTATGAAAAATTTAGGGGGTCAAACAAGGTGCATTGTGGTCTATGTGAAAATGTGAATTGGAAGTATGACGTAGCAAGCGACGTAAGGTTTTGCAGTTCAATGCCTGCTGGTGGTATAGAACTGGGTTGCAGTGACGTTACAGGCAGTATTTGTCACTTTCAGACTTCAGTCAGTTTGCAGGGTGTTTCACAGGACTTAAGATTTGTAAATTCATTTTTTACTCTTTGTGACAGAATCAGTCGGCCCAGGCAATCCAAGAGAGAGATTTAGCCTTGAAGAAGAGCAAAAGACTTGAGGAAGAAATTGAAACTATCAGAGTTTATTACAGGTTAGGAACTCCTCAAAAATTTGTTGTGACTTGTAAAACCTTTTGTCAGTGCTGACTTTAATTAAGAACGTTAAAGGCGAACGGCTGCTTGCAAGTTACCTCACTGTTTTATATCTTCAAAAACTCTGCCTAAATTTTTCAAGTGAAACGAGAACGATAAGGTCTCTTGGATGACTAAAATTTATTTTTTACTTTACTTTTTACTACTTTAGTTTCTTTTTTTTTAATAATCGTGAATTATTTCACAGTTTACACGGATCCCTAACGCAAGAACAATCTCTTCGCGACCAATTCAACCAAACCATGGATAACTTTGAAAGTCGATTAAGAGCCCGTGATGCAGACATCCAGCAAGCACAGCGGAGTTATGATGAAGTGGTTGCGAAACTCAAGTCAGTGTCACAGGAAAGAAACACGCTCGCTAAACAACTGGAGGAGTCTTCTAAAAACAGACAACGGGAGAAAGACAGAGCTGACAAGTAAGTTCAAGACAACTTAGTAACACGGCAATGAAGTTGAGCAACAATCTTAAACAAGACCGATGGAACATTTCGAACCCTCCCCCTCCCCTCCCCCCTCCCCTCCAGGTCAAGGATAAGAACATTGGGCGTTTTGGCCTTTGAGCGGTTTTATCCTTGATTTAGCGGAGATGGGGAGTGTGCTGTAGTATTTTTGCTGCCCAAAATTGTAGTGCGCAGTCGTTCTTTATGTCGTCACGCAACGCAAGGAGCATCGTTTATTAATGAAAAAAGTTTTGGCTCCGTATGAGACTACCGCTAAGTTTACGATCTGATCGCCCTCATTCTCTCCTACTCGCCCTTTTTCTTCCTCTCAAATATTAAGAACGGCGCAAGAAAGAGAACCCGTAAGTTAAAATGGCGAGAAAACTGTCCCGTCTTCTTTCCTTTTTTTCAACCCCCTCTTTTTCCGTTGCTCCTGAGCACTCGGTAATTTTGCGCACAAATTGCTTGTACTTCCTAATTTACAGACTGAAATATTGTTTACGAGGTTAGTCAGTCATTGGAACCTACCATACACATTTTTTAATTTTCATCTATCCTCCAACGTTATGGGGGCCCATTTTGTCCAACCTCGGTTATATTTCTTCCCAATGAAAACTAAATTTACTCGCGCGTTGCTATATTTGCTTTCCTTTTTGCTTTATTTTTGTAGGTTAGAAAGATTGGTCGGAGTTCTGCGCAAACGCATTTCAGACTCGGGAGGAACAAGCGTAGCAACTATCAACTAGAGGGAGGAGTGGGGATAGGGCGAAGGAGTAATATTAAAGGGGTGGGGTGAGGAACGGTGGGCCATTAATAGGTGTATCTTAGTATCCCAGGAGCTTAGGGAAAAGGTTGCGATCAATGGACGCCTGATTATTAGATGGTAGGGGTGTACAATTAGGTTCCCTTGCAAAGAGATTAGATTATTTATGTCTTTGGGAAAGTGCCACCAAAGGGGAAGGGGTGAATCATTTGTGTCACCAGGAGGGAGGGGTGAGTCATTAGTCTCTCTTCTTGGGACAGAGTATGTGTATATATTATACATGTAAGATTATAGCACGAAAAATGAGCTTGTATTTTACTTATTTGTACTGAGAGAATGAATATTAGACAAAAAAGAATCCTTTTGGATCAGTTATCTGAAAAATGACCAAGAAAAGATGTCACTCTGTCCAGAAATAATTCGTTTGCGGTTTAATCAAAGCTGTTTGTGTTTTGTTCAATTACTGCTCATTAACCCGTTTTGGTGTCTTATTTGTTTCATTTTTTGCCGGAGTAAAGGAGATATCAACAAAAGTGCAAAATTTTCTCCATCTTCAAATAACAAGCAAGTGGCAACTGTAACTTGTCAGTGACCAATGACATTTGTTATGTAAGTTAATTTTATTTTAAATAAAACCACCCATAAAGGGATTTTTCTTTGATTATAAAGAAGTGGAGAAGTGTCGTAGTTTCCAGGATACAGAAGAGCAGGAATCAGTATTTACAGCTAGGGTGATTTGTTACTCTTCCACAGATTACACTTGATACATTTGAAACCATAGTAGCTGAAGATAGCCGCCCGTTATAGAAAGTGCCCGATTTCGACGATCTTACAGAAAAATAACACGCTAAACAGTTTAGAATGGGTATAACTAAATGAATCAAAGGTTATCTTTCCTCGTGAATGTTGATTTTGTTTGATGAGAATAATTGTGAAAGACGTTACTCTCAATAAACACGAACTCAAACGGAAGGACCTTGAATTTAATCGTAAAATCGTGTTATATTTATTTCCCAAGATTAATTGAGTTAACAGCTTTTTAACTTTTGAGTCTGGACAAAACTTTGTCTTCTGATCTGGCCAGTCAAATAAAACCTCCACAAGCTTTTTAACATAACATAACTTTATTATTTATATAGGGCAAAATACATGGGTATATGATCTAATGCGCTTCACATTACAATGCTCACAATATTACAATGAAATGGATAAAAAATTTTCTGGCCACTTTTGAAATTAGAGTTTCATGCTGGGTGATACTCAATTGCCATCCAGATGCAGTCGGTGTCACTATAGTACTGATGCCAGCCATAAAAAAGGTCGCCATTTTTCTTGACCCCAGTAAACGGGTCATGAGTAAACCCAGGAGCCATCATCACCTCTTCGTACAGACTTTTGAAATCATTCTCGTGAAATTTCTGCATCCTTCCTGTTCCATACACCTGAGTGTGTACCTCCAGCATCTCTGGGTCTGTGTGGTGATTATGAATTCCGCAGTGGGTCTTAGCAGGGCTAAACCAGACGTTTACCTTGATGTTGTACTTTGAAACACCACATTCTTGGCTGGGTGTCTTTGTTCCAGTCACTATGTAAGGATCAAATTCCACTGTTCCCACTTCAAATTGAGGTGATTTATATAGCGGTACATCACGTGGATAAGTCGAGTCCTGGGCTGACAGCTGGTACCATCCTTCATCAAGGATGACGCCACCAAGATTGTCTTCATCCGGGAGTTTAATCANTACACCTGAGTGTGTACCTCCAGCATCTCTGGGTCTGTGTGGTGATTATGAATTCCGCAGTGGGTCTTAGCAGGGCTAAACCAGACGTTTACCTTGATGTTGTACTTTGAAACACCACATTCTTGGCTGGGTGTCTTTGTTCCAGTCACTATGTAAGGATCAAATTCCACTGTTCCCACTTCAAATTGAGGTGATTTATATAGCGGTACATCACGTGGATAAGTCGAGTCCTGGGCTGACAGCTGGTACCATCCTTCATCAAGGATGACGCCACCAAGATTGTCTTCATCCGGGAGTTTAATCAGGACAAGAGACTCTCCACTGACGATCTTTACACCTTAGTAAAACAATGTTACAATTAAACAGTTCTAGTCGTGTTGGCTATAAAATGGGCGCGGTCAGTCTAACAACCAAGCGTGAACAAGAGTGGATTAATCGGCTGCTCCCGGTGTGAACGCGCCTTATAATACAGATGTGTTACAGAGTTCCCTTCTAGTGTAAATACATGGCGAAATTTGCACAGAAACAAACCAGAAGCTGTACCAAGGAAGGGAGAATGGAAGGGATAAAGGATTTCACTCTTTAATACTCTTTTGCCCCTCGTTGTTTCTTTGTTGAGCCTTTAAAACGATGGAAGAAAAGGCGAAACGAAGCACGGCATTTATTTTCCGTTTTATTGCGAGATGATTGGTTGGAGCTCATGCAAATGACATAGCAGGTTAATCAAACGAATATTGGTTTTGTGTTGTGACCTTACTTATCTTCTGTGAACCTGAGTTTTCAATGAGTGGCCCACAAATTGCACTGCGAAAGGTCTTGAACCGTTGTATATAATAGTTTATTTTTTTCCTATAGTTTTTACTAGTTCTCGGAGATACAGCTCCTTCGATGGACGTTTTAGGACGCTCACGCGACGACAACGCATAGCAATAAGTGTAGTTTCACAAAAATGTCACAAATTCATCCATAAATTAAGCGACTCTTTTGTCAACTTTTGCGACATTTAATGCCAAGTCATGACCGAATTGCAAGTCGTTTTCAAAGGATTTACAGCTACCCTACCGTCTTAGGACTATTCTTGAGATAGCTGTGTTTCTACTTCTTAGTAAATCCTCTCGGGCTCGGAGGTGGGGGTGGGGGAGATCATGCTAGAACAGACAATCAAATTTAAATTTAACATCACTAAATATGTTGACAAACACTAGAATGTTGTCTTCGACACAGTATGTTTTTTTTTTTTTAAACCAGATATTTCTTCACGCAACACCCTATTAGCAATACCCGTATGGGTAAAAATATTGGCTTTCCATGCGGAACTAAAATTTACACGCATATCATCCACGTTCCTTTGTCCTCTCATGTTGCTTCCAGCCCGGTGATGAAATGTAATGTATACATGTCACGCAACGGGAAGAAAATTGTCCCTAAGTCAAGAAAAAGAGAGCTTGGGAATCTCTATGTCGAGAGAAAAGACGGCTTTTCCACGTTAAAATGTTTGTTTCGAGTTCCTCAAAGAATTTACAAACCAAAAAAGCACGATAACAAGAACAAGTACGACACGTATGTAAGGTAAAAAATTTGCATATGGCACGCAAAAACATTGAAAAATATACTAACGTAATATAACCATAGTAAATAAATGTTATAAATTTAAAGGGTAACGGTCTGATGGACATTTTATTACATACAAAAGTAAGGCTCGCAAATTACCTCGAAGAATGGTCGACTTTCTTGGTCGTAAAACCTTGTGCGGTGGCGACCCTGAAATAATTGCCTCCGAGTTGGAAATGTTTACAACGATAGTGGGTTTCTTAACTTCAAAATCTTGAGCGTCCGTGAGCCACTTCGACTTTAGAAACTTGGAAAAATTGAGAGGCTGTTTCGAGTTGGGTGCCATTCCGCCGTTCGTTGCATGTACTTCAATTCACTCAAAAAGACAACTCAAGATATCACGGAGGTGTCAGTATATCACGACCCGAATGCCAAGCCTTCCTTAGTTGGTGAGAGTGAGGAGATATTAATCCCCAGTACCCTAGGGCTGGTATAAGGATGTTAATTTGATTTGACTGTGTTATGAAATCGGGAGTCTTGATTATCAATATCAATAATTAGGAATCAATTCTTTTCAAAGTAGTCTTGCTCATCAGTATTAAAAAATTAGAATTTCATGCTGGGTGATACTCAATTGCCATCCAGATGCAGTCGGTGTTACTATAGTACTGATGCCAGCCATAAAAGAGGTCGCCATTTTTCTTGACCCCAGTAAACGGATCGTGAGTAAACCCAAGAGCCATCATCACCTCTTCGTACAGACTTTTGAAATCATTCTCGGGAAATTTCTGCATCCTTCCTGTTCCATACACCTGAGTGTGTACCTCTAGCATCTCTGGGTCTGTGTGGTGATTATGAATTCCCCCGGGGGGGGAGGCCCGGGTGAATTCCGCAGTGGGTCTTAGCAGGGCTAAACCAGACGTTTGCCTTGATCTTGTACTTTCTAATACCACATTCGTGGCTGGGTTTCTTTGTTCAAGTCACTATGTAGGGATCAAATTCCACTGTTCCCACTTCAAATTAAGGTGATTTGAGCGTCCGTGAGCCACCTCGACTTCAGAAACCTGGAAAATTTGAGGGGCTGTTCCGAGTTGGGTGCCATTCCGCTGTTGATTCCATGCAGTTCAACTCACTCCAAGAGACAACTCAAGATATCCGGGAGGTGTCAATATATCACGATAAACGAGTCCCAAGCCTTCCTAAGCGGGTAAGGGTGAGAAGATTTGAACCCCTAGTAACGTAGGACTGGGGTTAGTTAATTTAGTGCAACTTCGATATAACCCAGGGCCAACGGACTGGCAAAATTAGTTCAACATACCGAGATTACGTTACATCAAAGGAAACACATATCCCTAGTGTATGTGTTTCCCCTACCCAGAAACACATATCCCTAGTTATATGTGTTTCCCCTACCCAGGAACACGTATTCCTAATGATATGTGTTTCCCCAACTAGGAAACACATATCCCTAGTGATAAGTGTTTCCTCTACCCGGAAACACATATCCCTAGTGTATGTGTTTCCCCTACCCAGAAACACATATCTCTAGTTATATGTGTTTCCCCTACCCGGGAACACGTATTCCTAATGATATGTGTTTCCCCAACTAGGAAACACATATCCCTAATGATATGTGTTTCCCCTACCCGGAAACACATATCCCTAGTGATATGTTTTTCCCCTACCCGGAAACACATATCCCTAGTTATATATGTTTCCCCTACCCAGAAACACATATCTCTAGTGATATGTGTTTCCCCTACCCGGGAATACATACCTCTAGTAATATGTGTTTCCCCTAACCGGAAACACATATCCCTAGTTATATGTGTTTCCCCTAACTGGGAACACATATCCTTAGTGATAAGTGTTTCCCCACCTGGGAAACACAAATCCCTAGTGATATGTGTTTCCTGTACCTGGAAACACATATCCCTAGTGATATGTTTTCCCCCTACCCAGAAACACATATCCCTAGTTATATGTGTTTCCCCTACCCGGAAACACATATCCTCAGTGACATGTGTTTCCCCTACCCCGGAGCACATATCCCTAGTTACATGTGTTTGCCCTACCCAGGAACACATATCCCTAGTAATAGCTGTTTCCCCTACCCGGGAACACATATCCCTAGTGATATGTGTTTCCCCTACCCTGAAACGCATATCCCTAGTAATATGTGTTTTCCCTACCCGGGAACACATATCGCTAGTGATATGTGTTTCCCCTTCCCGTGAACATATATCCCCAGTGGCAATATACGTGTTTCCCTTACCCGAAAAAACATATCCCTAGTGATATGTGTTCCCCCACCTGGGAAAGACATATTTCTAGTGATAAGTGTTCCCCCACCTTGGAAACACATATCCCTAGAGATATGTGTTCCCCCATCTGGGAAAGACATATCACTAGTGAGATGTGTTGCCCCACCTGGGAAACACGTATCCCTAGTGATATGTGTTCCCCCACCTGGGAAACACATATCCCTAGTGATATGTGTTTCCCCACCTGGAAAGCACATATCCCTAGTGATATGTGTTCCCCTACCTGGGAAACACATATCCCTAGTGATATGTGTTCCCCTACCTGGGAAACACGTGTCCCTAGTGATATGTGTTCCCCTACCTGGGAAACACATTTCCCTAGTGATATGTGTTCCCCTACCTGGGAAACACATATCTTTAGTGATATGTGTTCCCCCACTTTGGAAACACATATCCCCCGTGTTTCCCTACCTCAGAAACACATATCCCTAGTAATACGTGTTCCCCCACCTGGGAAACACAAATCCCTAGTGATATGTGTTCCCCCACCTGGGAAACATAGATCCCTAGTGATATCTGTTCCCCCACCTGGAAAACAGATATCCCTAGTGATATGTGTTCCCCCACCTGGAAAAGACATATTTCCAGTAATAAGTGCTCCCCTACCTTAAAATTACATATCCCTAGTAATATGTTTTTCCCCTACCAGGGAACACATATCCCTAGTGAAATGTGTTTCCCCTACCCGGGAACACATATCCCTAGAGATATGAGTTTCCCCTTTCCGTGAACACATATCCCTAGTGATATGTGTTCCCCCACCTGGAAAAAACGTATCCCTGGTGATATGTGTTTCACCACCTGGGGAACACATATCCCTAGTGATATGTGTTCCCCCACCTGGGAAACACATATCCCTAGTGAGATGTGTTCCCCTTCCTGGGATAGACATATCCCTAGTAATATGTGTTCCCCCACCTGGGAAAGACGTATTTCTAGTGATAAGTGTTTCCCCACCTTGGAAACACATATCCCTAGTGATATGTGTTGTCCCACCTGGGAAACACGTATCGCTAGTGTTATGTGTTCACCTACCTGGGAAACACATATCCCTAGTGTTATGTGTTTTCCTACCTGGGAAACACATGTCCCTAGTGATATGTGTTCTTCCACCTTGGAAACACATATCCCTGGTGATATGTGTTCCCCTACTTGGGAAACACATATCCCTAGTGTTAGGTGTTTTCCTACCTGGGAAACACATGTCCCTAGTGATACGTGTTTCCCCTACCAGGGAACACATATCCCTGGTGATATGTGTTTCCCCTTTCAGGCAACACATATCTCTAGCAACATGTGTTTCCCTTACTCGAAAACACATATCCCCAGGGATATTTGTTTCCCCTTCCCCTGAACACATATTCCTAGTGAAACGTGTTTCCCCACCTCGGAAACACATATCTCTAGAGATATGTGTTTTCTCTACCCTGGAAGACATATGAATAGTGATATGTTTTTCCCCTACCCGGCAATACATATCTCTAGTGACATGTGTTTCCCTTAACTTAAACACATATCCCTAGTGATATGTGTTTCTCCTTCCCAGGAACACATATCCCTAGTGATATGTGTTTCCCCTATTTGGGAAAACTTATCTCTAGTGATATGTTTTTCCCCTACCCGGGAACACATATCCCTAGTAATATGTGTTTCCCCTACCCGGGAGCACTTATTCCTAGTGATATGTGTTTTCCTTACTTTTGCACAGATATCCCTATTGATATGTGTTTTCCCTACCCGGGAACACATATTGTTAGTGATATGTGTTTCCCCACCTGAGAATCACATATCCCGGGTGATATGTGTTTTTCCCTACTCGGGAAGACATATCCCTAGTGGTATGTTTCCCCCTACCAGGGAAAACATTTTCTTTGAACTTTGATTTTGGACTCTAGTATAGTTCTTACGAGTCAGCTTGTGCAGGCGATTTGATCGATCCTTCACTCGAGTACGATCAATTCAGGAGAAGAGTTTAATAATTTTTTTCACAGTTGCCTTCCTTGTAAGTTTTGACTTGGACAAACATCTTAAGAAGAGTCTTTTTTCGTAAGTTAATTCGTCGTTAATTTTGGAAAATATGCAAAAATGCGACTATTTGAAGTGCATATTTTTATAGGCTAGAAACGATTCTTTTTATGTAAAAGATCCCCAAACATTTTTTCAAGCTCATTTTTGCCCAAAAACCGCAAATTAAAAAAATTGAATTTTTTGACCAAAATCATAACAATCGTTTTGTTTCTCTGCTTGATTGGTCATTCCAATCATTTTTGTGAACTTTGATTTTGGACTTTAATATAGTTCTTACGCGTCAGCTTGTGCAGGCCATTTGATGACTTTGATCGATCCTTCACTCAAGTAAGATAAATTCAAGAAAAGAGAACAATTCAAAGTTGTTGCAGTTGCCTTCCTCTCAAGTTTCATTTCGTTTGACTTGGACAAACATCTTGAGAAGAGTCTTTTTTGGTAAGTTAATTCATTTTTTTATTTTTTAATGAATATTTAGATCTTTGGGCCCGTTTCTCGAAAGTCCCGCCGTTATTAACGGGCCTGCAAAGCTGTTGTTGATTACGTGTAAGGTAGAGTTCAGTAGCTGGGCATCTAACATGTTGAAACTATCAGTTAATGAAACAAAATGGAGTAGTTTGCTAGCCAGGACCCACGATGTTATTCTCTATATTTCGATTTGAATATTTGATTTCGGTCCCGAAAAGTTACTTGTACTTTCGAGAAACTGGCCCATGAACATGCTGAGTCGTGGCGATTATGTTAAGATTAACGTACAACCTTTTTGGGATTTTATGAGAGTTTCTAAACAGAGAAATAACACCTAAAAAAGGACGGTAAAAGCAAAGGAAATAAGTAAAGATAATGTCTGTGGACAGTCTCGTATTTCTTCACAAATACTGAGGTACACGCCCGACAGAGTGGTCTATCATGTCTTTAAAAAAGTGGTCATCTTCATGCGCCAACAGAGACAAGAACAACAACGACGACGTCAGTGGAAATAGCCTGAATTTCATCCGATTGCTTCGAGTCGTTTTATCCACTCAGCGACGACGTTACTGAGGGAGTAATAAGGACTGGAGGTAATTGGATGAAATTCAGGCTACAGTGAAAACGTCTCAACTCACGCTCCATGAAGGCATCGTGTGCCCGCCTAAAAACGCGAAAAATATAAAAAGTAACCGGGAATTAATAAATTTGCAATAGATAACAAATCAACATTATCCCAAATACTGCTGATCATACCATCATCACGGTCACATCATAGGACTTTAGATTTACCTTAGCCTGTGCTTACAAACTCGCTATAATTTTATGGCGAGGCATGTGAGCCGCGAGAGAACACGCGAGTTACCGCCCCTCGCACTCGCGTTTCCTTTCGCGTGCTGCTCTCGCGTGACTTCTCGCGACTTCCCCAAATGGAGAGCTTGCTCGCAGACTAGACTTACCGTAACTAACCGACTTTGTTTACAGCTGCTTCATAATTGGCCGTGCAAGGTGGTACA